TGCTTCTCATTTTCTTTCCTTTACTTAATTAACTTTTATCTTATTTATGTTTTTATATTGTTTATTTATGTTTCTCTTTTTTCATTATGTTTGGTTAAATTTATTATGTCAATGTGAAAAGGTTACACTAATGGTGTAAGAATAAGTATAGTGTAAACTCAACATGGACTTTAATGTTTTGATACTAACATGTTTTGTATTTGTTATCTTATTCACTCTTAATACTTTGTTTGTTAAATGGTTAATCTAAATTTATGTTATATAACTTTTGGTATAACAAATACTTGACATTTTCATAGCTCAACCATATGGTATAACCGATACTTGTGCTATGAAAGAAACTTGATTTGTTATTAACTCAGGTTATAATCATGAATACCTGACAATATTTACAAGTATTAACATTATTCGAATAAGATAACTAATGTAATCATGTTAATAATTTATAATCCGATTGGAACCTTATTTGTATGTGATTTCTAGTTGAGTAATAAAAAGAGTTTATACTATACTTGTTTAAAATACCATTAGTGAATCCTCTAACCTTAATAATTATTTTATCCTTATTTAATTCTTACATTAATCTTACATTTTAAAGTCCTCTTCAACTCATCATCATTATCATTATTTATAATTTATATAGTTAATTTTCCTGTGGTTTGACTCCGGTCTTACAAGTTATTTATTACTTCAATACTCCTGCACTTGGAATAAAACATTAATCTTTTGGTCATATTAACTGATTATTATATCTTCTTTGAAAACTCGTTGGTGTCCTCGAAAAACAAGAAGCAACTTACAAGAGCTCATTCATCTATAACAATGAATTATTGATCTATTGCAACTACTTCTGAGTTAATTAATGGCTAAAGAAAAAGATAAAAACAAGGATTGGAATTGACACCCTATTTTTAAAAAGACATCTCATCATTTCTTTGTTTCTCTATGGCCTCTCACTTTTAATTTCTAAAATAAAAGTAAAATTAAGTGTTTTTTTTTAAATTAAACACCAATTCAATATTCATATATTTTTTTTCCGCATGGCCTAACAATAGAAAAGATTAATAAAAAAATAATTAATTTTAAATATCAATTAATATAATATTAAATAACAAAATTAAATAATTTTTTTTAATAATCAAATAAAAAAAGAAATAACATTACGCGATTTCATTGTGTTCTCGTTCCCAAGGCATAATGTGCCTACAGTTTAACACGAGGCACTTTTAGTTTTTGGTGTAATTTGTTAGGTTTGGATGACTGAATTCCTGTAAGGAAAAAATGATGAGGGCGATGACAATGTTTTTTTTTTTTACCCTTAATTTGTTGGAAAATTTATAATATTGTAAGAGTTTTTTTAGTTATTATTTCAATTTTAATGGCAATTATAATTTTTTTCAAATTATTCTGTTGATTTGTTTCCTCTTAGGAGGTTAGAGTAATTTTTTCAAAATTAGATGAGAAATTTAATTTGACGTTATAAGTAGAGGTTATGAGATAATTAAAGAAACTTTGCACCCATCTAGCTGTAGATGCCATCTGAGATCCTACTCAGATGAATTTAGTGAAGAAAACACGTCAACCTTAGCATTGAAATAAAAAAGAAAAACATCTAAGAATACCTTATGGTATGTATTATAAGGGAAGCATGGGCTGGCTTTCTTCAGAACAAACTATTTTAAGGGTAATTTGATATTGAGGTTAAATTGAATTTTTGTTAAAGATTGATTTTTTCATTTTAAATTAATTTTTTAGTGTTTTCAATTATTTTTATGTATTAATATAAAAATAAATTTTAAAGATAAAAAATTATTATTTTAATATATTTTTAAATGAAAAAAGACTTTAAGATATATATATATAAAAGGAAATGTATACATGTATTAGTCAAGAAGTATCAACACACAAAGCACCAAGCCAAAGTTGTTTCCTTTCCTTCACTTAAAACCTTGATAATGTTAGCTAGTAGTGGCTCTCGTATTTCACAGCACTTGACAAATTGTCACTACAATCAGAAAACCCATTTAGGGTTAGGGTTTTGCAACACAAAAATTCACAAAAGTTCCTACCTTTCTTTCTCTCTTTTCATGTTGAAACCTCCCTCTTTTGTAACGATATTTGGTGGTGATAATTATAGGCATAATAATTATAATCATTGGAAGTATGGGTTTGTTTCTTTTTCAAGTCTTCAATCAAAATCATCCTCAGGAGAAACTCCCATTCTTTCTGATTGTGTAAGGTTTGTACTTATGTTCTTTAAAGTTCTCATTTTCTGGGTTCTTATTTGTTTCTAGGAAAGAAAGTGAACATACTGTAAAGTTCTGTGCTTTTTGTTTATATGGGTGTTGTCTGTGTGTTAGGATCATGCATCAATGAAAGTTCAACGGAAGCTTAATTATACAATTCGTGCAATTTCAATCCTTTTGGTTGCTAAGAGTTTAATGTTTGCTGGTTAATTACTTGCTAAGTGATTGGTTTAGGTGAAAATTTCAGAGATTACACGAAAAAGATAAAAATTCTTGTGAATTCTTATGATTGGAACGCTTAATTTAATCGGGTTCAGTTATTTACTCTCATATTGGAACCAGATGTTTGATTGATGTAATGTACATATGAACACTTTTTTTATAATGCTAAAAATTCAGATGAACTATTATTTGTTTGTCATTCAATATGTGTGTCTAATACATCTCATTTTTGTTCAATTAGCTGATGAGTTTTTCTTTGTGCAAAAGCCAGCGAGATAACGATTCTGAGCTTCCCTCTGAAGGATTGGCCTCAGTAGCAGGTTTCTTTGCTTGTCCTTTATTAGATTTGATGCTGAGTACATCTAAAAATTTATGTTTAGGGCGCCTTACATGCTTTTTGATTATTGATTGCTTCGTCATGATTTTTGCAGGAGGAATAGTAGCACTAGGAAAGTTTGACGCCCTTCACATTGGCCATCGAGAACTTGCAATTCAAGCATCAAAGGTTGGAGCCCCAAGTCTTCTATCATTTGTGGGAATGGCAGAAGTACTTGGTTGGGAGCCTAGGTATCAGTTTATTCTTTTGTTTGAGCGCACATTTACTTGTGTGATTGGATATATGGAAACTTTTCCAATCCTTTCAATTTTGCATCCATCTACCTGATGAGTTCGAGATGCATGCGCTTTATTTTTGTGCCTTGTGAATTAAGCTGGTTACTTTCTTACTAGGAATTCTATTTGCTTTTTCCAAAGCATTACAATTCTTTGACAGTTTGAAGGTAGCAATCTTCATCATGGCTATCTTTTTTGTACTGTAGAATGACTCTTATGGAGCCAAGAACATGTGCTCTGTCCTTCCTTTACTCGGTACTTTTTTAATATTGTTAGGATATGTTTGCTGTCTCAAATTTCTCCATCTTTACAGAAGTCTAGGATAATTTGAAGCAAGTTTGAGTTGAAACTAAGTCTAAAGCTAAGCTCATAAATAATTTAGCATAATTTGAAGCAAGTTTGAGTTGAAACTGAGTCTAAAGCTAAGCTCATAAATAATTTATGAATTAGTGTCCAATATGCACATGATGTACCATGGTGTTCTGGGGTGAATTTTTTGCCACATGTTGCTTGGAATCAATTTACTAGTGAAGGAGAGAGTATTGGTAAACTTTGCTGAAACATGCATGAGCTGGAGGATTTTTTTGAAAAATGATGGTTGGTAACTCATTGTGCAGTGGTGTTATTGACTTGTCATATTGTGGTTAAGAGAATTATTCTCTTGCAGAATGACGATAAGTTGCTTACATGTGAAATTGACATATTTTCATAAATCTGCCAACTATATACATGTTACAATTCTTCTTTGATTTAAGTGACAATTTTTACTTTCCTGTACAGGGCTCCCATAGTTGCCAAATGTGACCGAAGTAGAGTTCTTTCTTCTTGGGCCCCATACTGTGGCAATATGGTCCCAGAAGAGGTCCAAATTGAATTTTCATGCGTTCGACATCTCACCCCGCGACAATTTGTTGAGAAGTTATCTAAGGAGCTTGGAGTAATTGGAGTTGTGGCAGGTAAACTAATATTATTTTGCTGCCCATCTTTCTTTTTTTCCCTGTCACTGATGTAAATTCCTGCATTTGATTTTTATGGAATTGAAGTCTCAAATCTTAATGGCTGACTCTGTCAGGGGAAAACTACAGATTTGGATATAAAGCTGCTGGTGATGCCTCCGAGCTGGTGAGACTGTGCGAGGAACATGGTATGGGGGCTTACATTATAAGTTCTGTGATGGACAACAATCAAGATTACAGAAGCATGAACTCAAATGATCTAAAAGATAGAGGACAAGTCTCATCTACCCGTGTTCGTCAAGCTTTAGCTGTAGGGGATATGAAATATGTGTCAGAACTTCTAGGTCGTCATCATCGTCTCATATTGATGTTGAAAGACCAGGAAGAGCGTACTAAAACTAGCAGTGGAAGGAGGGTCTCAGCTCCAAAGTCATTTCTATTGAATCTACCCCCAAAGGATGGTTTCTACGAGAACTGTTCTCTCATATTCGGTACTAAGAATCCAGTAACATGTAGAGTATTCATGGATACAACGCATATCCATTTAGAAACGGACGAGGCAGATCCTTTTGATTTCGAGACCGATCAAGAGCTGCATCTCTTGGGCATAGAATTTGGTGATTCCAGACCTGATAGAGCTTAAGCATATCAGTCCTCACATTAGTTTTTGTTCATTGAAGTAGTTTCATCTAATCGAGTTGGAGCCCTTTGTAACTATTCATTAGTTCACATTCACTTGTATGCTCAATAATTTACACATACATACACATTCTTTAGCTAAAAACTGGAATTCTATTTGCTGATTCTAGGACGTGGCTAAGAGGATTTTTGAGATAATTATGGTTTTTCAAAATATATTTTTTTTAAGAAATATATTAAAATAATATATTTTGTTAAATTATTTTTATATTAAGATATTAAAATTAAAATGATATGAAAACATTAAAAAATATCGGTTTAAAGCAAATAAATAATTTTTTATTTTGCTTAAAAGTATTTTTAAAAAACTAAAACAAATAAAAATAGTAATTTAAAGTAAAAAAAATAATTTTTTATTTTGTTTAAAATAATTTTTCAAACAAAAAGACAAACAGATTTTAATATATGAATAACTGTTTATCTTTGAACTGAAGGAAGTAATCATTGAAATTTTAGGATGTTTGAGTTAAAGTACTTTTTCCTAGAAGTATGTTTGAGTTAAAGTACTTTTTCCTAGAATGTAATAAAATATTATTTTTTTAAAAATTATTTTTAATATTAATACATTAAAATGATAATATATATATAAAAATATTAATATAAAAAAAAAAATATATATAAAAATATTAATATAAAAAAATGATTTTTAAAATAGAAAAATAAATAGTTGTTAAAAGGTTGGTAGAGTAATGGGCACTAATATATATATATAAAACAACCCTTCTCCTCCTTTTCAAATTCCAATTCATCTTTCCATTCAGAATCTTTTGTTGGAATATCCAATTTGGATATTCTAGAAACCATTCCCATCTTACAAGCCTCCCCCGGCTCAAAGCTTTCCAAGAAAAACATCTTTAAAGCAAAGCCATCAACATCCCTATAAATCAAAAACCTCTGAAAAATTAAAAACAAGAAATCCCTCACGGAAGGGCACTCGTTCCTCTCTTCTCTCCCCTATAAATAAAACAAGAAGGAAACTAAATTGCCGTTCGTCTTGCCTCTCTCAGGTCAGTTTTCTCTCTCTATACTATTTCTTTCTTTTATTTTTCTTGTTTGTGTTGATTGTTTTTTTTTTTTGAAAGTTTGGATGTTTTTAAAATTTGAGCAAAATTTAGCAAATCCAACGAAGAAAACTACACATTTCAATCTGTTTTCATATATATTTTTTTAAAATTAATCATCACTTTCATTGGCCCTGCATTGGCTTTTGTTTTTAGCAAAAGAACTAAAGTTTTTTATTTATTCATTGTATTTCGAATTGGGTTTTTATTGTTTTCTTTAATTGGAAGAAAGTTTAGAATTCTGAGTTATTCATCCGAGTCAGGCCGAGTTGACTTGCTTTCAATTAAGCTAATTAAGGGCAAAAGAGTGTTCTGGTCTCTTTGTCTTCTGAGTCTTGACCTGTCGTTTTATATGGCATCCTCGTGTTCCTTAGCACCTTTTAGGTCCACCGTGGTAGTTAATTCGTTTTCCAATCCTACCCAAGACGCATCACTCTTATTACCTCTCGCCCTTCCCTTCTCTTCTCGTATAAATAAAAATATATCTTAAAGTTTATTTTTAAAATATTTTTTATTTAAAATTATATTAAAATAATAGATATATTTTTAATTTTTAAAAATTATTTTTAATATTAATATATTAAAATAATTTTAATTTTTTTTTAAATTTTAATGAAATATCATTTAAAATTGCCTTAATCATTCTTATATTGTGCACAAATTGAACAATTAACATACAAAATAACAAATAATAATGAATTAACATAGTAACAAAATTTTTTGGTAAAATATTATATTTATAGATTTCGTGGTTTTAAATCTTGATATTAATTACATTCAGGATTATCTAATTTATAATAATTAATTAAATTGATTTATTGATTAAAAATAACAAGAAAAATTATAAAACTATCGAAACCTTATAAGTGATATTTTTAAAATTTAAAAATTTGATGGTTGAAATAGTTTGATTTCATAGTTATTATAAGTGAAATGATTTCTGACCTCGAGAAACTTAAATTTGATAGTGATTCAATTATTAAATAAAAAATTATGATATTTTTAAGTTATTATTTTAGTATAACAGAACTAGTTTTTTTTTTAGATTTAAATATATTTTATTGGTTTATAAATATATTTGTTAAATATATCTATGTAATATGTCTAGGTAAATTTTTATTTAGTTATGATATATTTATATTTGATTGTTCAGAATTATTTATTATTGTAAGCCTGACTATATCACTAACATTCATAAAATATATTTGGATTTGAAATGGTCAATTAATTTATACAATTATATCAATTAACTAATAAACTAATCATATCAATTGACTAATTGATTGAGTAAGATGTAATGGTGAGGTTATAAGTTTAAATATTATTATTTTAAAATACAATAAGTATATTGTTGTGTTTAAAACTAGTGGTTTTTAATAAATTCTTTTCAAATATAATTATTTTACTGTAATTTTTAACTTTTATAATTTTTTTTTTTAAAATCCCTGGTCTCATAGACCATCGGAAGGAATCTATAACTACTTATCTATCAATCACCATCTCTGCAAAAAGCCACGATGTAGTACCTCGTGGCATGCTTTTATTGGTCTGTCCAAATTTGGAACCATAGTTTAGTCCCATCTGGTCATGCTGTCGCTTATTAGTGTTTCGCTAATTGGTTTAAGGTAATAATTAACATGTTGAAATTGTCTATTTTGTGCTAGCAGGAACGCGTTTTGTATTGGTAAAGGAAGCTTCTTGGCTGGTGTCTAACCTTTGATCTATCGGGCTGTCAAAAGAGAACAATTTTTGACAGCCCGAGAACAAAATTCAAAGATCCTTTACAAAGAATAAGGTAAACAACAACATAGAATATTCCATCTCTGTCTGCTTCCATGTTTTTCTCGTGAATTTGAATGTGGCTATTTGTATCTGTGTTTGGTATTGTTGGTTTTGGTTTAAATTGAATTGTTCTAAGCATTGTGCAGGTGATTGATTGTTTAACATTCTTTGTTTGGTTATCTGGGTTGTGACCAAAATTGAAATTCAGTTCGTTGACTGAATTCCTGGCCTTGTTTTGTTTAGATCGTTGTGATATAGGATTGTTTGTTTACGAGAGATTTTCTTCTTGTGTATTCAGTATGGGCTCCTTGTCTGGAATCATTCAAAGACCAGTGATCGCAGCAGCTGTGGCAGCTTTAGCTTCTGTTTCTGTTGAATTTTCCGATGAACTACAATCTTTTAGATCATCTGATACTTGTTCTACCTCTGAACAGTCAAGTTCTTTATTGTCTAATTCACTTCAGGATTCAAAATTTTCTTGGGTTTCTCACATTTCAGTTTCTAAGCTTGCAAATTTGTCATTTGTAACTAGGATTCGGGTGCCTGTTCCTAATGTTAGCTTCCCAGTTCTGGATATGAGCCAAAATTTTGTTCCCAATACTCTTGGCTCTTCTGTTGCTTCCTCACCTTTTCTTGGTAATTTGTATCGGTCTGCCGAGTTGGCCAAAGGGCCAAAATCAAGTGCATTTAAAACCACCACTATTCCTCCATCCTCTCCTGATATATTATATAGATGGCATTTGCCCGAGCCGAGTACTATTGATGTTTCTGGATCATCTGATTGTTCATCAGAAAAGTCTAGGACAGTGGTAGTTTTGCTAGGGTGGTTAGGATCAAAGCAGAAACATCTAAATAAATATGCTGAGTGGTATACTTCGAGGGGATTCCATGTCATTACTTTTACTTTTCCACTGGCTGAGATTCTTAGTTACCAAGTTGGTGGGAAAACAGAACAGGACATTGACTTGCTTGCGACCCACCTGGCTGATTGGTTGGAAGAGGATGGAAAGAACTTAGTTTTCCACACTTTCAGCAATACTGGATGGTTAACGTAAAGCTCTCTCCATCTCAGGCTTCTGCACTAACCATTTTGTTTTCTTTATTCCTTGTGAAACCATTTGGCTTGACATGCTTGGTGTGATGCACTTTTTTTGCAGTTATGGAGCTATACTTGAGAAGTTTCAGAAGCAGGATCTTTCTTTAATGGGAAGGATCAGGGGCTGCATCGTGGATTCTGCCCCTGTCGCTACCCCTGACCCTCAGGTAAATGCTGCTTGCAGTTGTCTTTGTTGTTTTTGACAGTAACAAGAACATAATATTGGTATCAGGAAGGGGATGGAATTCTTATTTTTATCCTCTCTGCATGTCTTGTATTATTTTAAGCATGTTTAGCTGCGTTTAATGAAACTGTTGGCTGTGATTATGGTTGCTGTAGCTGGCAAACCTTTGAAAACCTTGAATCGTTTCCTTTTACTCATTAAGTTCATGAGTTAACTGTCATTTTACACTTTACAGCCATGCTACCGATAATCACACACTCTGTACCACCTCCATCTTTGCTTTGTGGGTAGGAGATGGTGTTTTGATTTTCAGACTATTTTATCAGCAGCCTTTTAGTATAGTTATTGAACTATCATTTGGCTGGTTATATATTATCTGCAGGGTCTGTGCTTTCCTTCATGTGACCATGTTATTGGCGATCAAAATTCAAATATATGATGAAAATGTTATTCATGTTCACTTTCAATCATTATTTGGGATACACTCTTTCTCCTTCTGCAGTCTTCCGGGTCTGAGTCCACATGGTTTTTTCCCCCTTTGTTTAGGTTTGGGCATCAGGCTTCTCTGCAGCTTTTCTGAAAAAGCATAGTGTTGCTACGAAAGTGCATGCAAGCTCAAAAGAGTCAGATATGGATGTATTAGTTGGCAGCAAAACATTCGTGGAACCCAAGCCTGCCATAGCTGAATCAGCTTTATTAGCTGTTCTGGAGATGTTCTTTGATGTGATTTTGAACATTCCTATGGTGAACAGGTTATACCCTCTTACCAAAAAAAGAAACATCTGAAACCATACGTTGATAAATGCTTAATAATTTAATTCTTATCATTATTACCATTGATAGATTCTCCATGACTGGAAGCTTATATAACTTTTCATTATTACATTGCAGGAGGCTCTCGGATGTGCTAAGCTTATTATCATCAGGACAACCAAGCTGTCCACAGTTGTATATATATAGCTCTGCAGATGAAGTCATTCCTGCAGGGTCTGTGGAATCATTTATAGCGAAGCAGCGAAGGGCTGGGCATGAGGTTAGGGCCTGCAACTTTGTGTTCACACCTCATGTTGATCATTTCAGAAATGATCCAAAACTGTATACTACTCAGCTCAGCCAGTTTTTAAATGACTATGTGCTTACTCATTGTAAGCATTCTTAACCGAAACCATGGAGGCAATTATTTTAGCCCAGCTTATTTTTCTCCATGAATCACATTATACAGCTCATAGAATTAATTCATTTTTATTCAATAGATATCAAATACAGCCGGAAAATAGTTACTTTCATTTTTTCATTTGTACTTGTTCTTTACATACAATCAAAGTTATACAAACTGTTAAAAAAGGTTATTCAATACTAAATACAAGTTTGCTTTCTGGTTTTGGTCTGAATGGAAGTTTTTGCTGCGTCACTTTTCACATTTTCTATGATCTCTTTTCTTACAATATAGAATTGGTTACAAGCGACAATTCAACATCTTGTTATAGCACACCACTAAGCTACAACTTTTACAGAGATCAAATTGTCTTCTAGATGCTGTTTTGGTAGCTAGTCCATCTTCATTTCATTCTGGCAAATTATGTACAAGATTTAAGAATTTCATTATGCATGCTTAGGTGTATATCAATGCAAGTCTTGTTTGTCTGTCTGGTTTAGGATTTTCAATTATTTGTTTGTTATTTATGGAAGTGCAAGTTTGTAGAACAAAGTGAAAAAGGTAGAGAATGTAAAGGATGGTTCCCTTGAAGAAATTGTGCTAAGACATAAAATAAGATGGTTTTCATGTATATGTTACACAGTAACAATAGCATATACAGACTCGTTATTAGCATCGGAGGCTTCTACGAGTTCTTTATGAGATATGAAATAAGACAAAGGAGAAATTATAGAGAGCAATCATACACGTTATAATTGATAGAAATAGCCATCAACAGCAGTAGATGACACGTGTTTAGATTTGGGAACGTCTGATCAGGCAGTGGGGTAAGAGGCTTGCATAGCTATGCCACATAGTCCTTCCTTTGCAGGTATATCCTTCTGCATTCGTATGTATCCCTCTTCCCCCCATTGGGCACCCCATGAGTTCTTCACTAGCCAATACTTTGATCCATCGCTGACTCCATATCCAACAGCAGTGACACCATGGTCTAGTTGAGTGTCGCAACTTCCTGTAAAGATGCCACTCGAGTAGAATTGGAAATCATATCCACCAGCGTCAATAGCAACAGAAACTGGTTGCT